GACAGTGAGATTGGCACAGGGTTTAGGGCTATCGTACACAGGGTCGCTATGAGTCGCAAGCAACTTGACGGCACATAACAACAACAAGTATCAACATCCACGGTGACAGCGAACAAATCCAAAGGTGTGTTTTGAACAGGGAATACTTGCTGTTAATGACCTCTCTTAAGTACCAAAGAGTAAGGCTGCCAGTTTAAAGACTAAGATGCAGTCGACCCAAGTCATAAATTTTTAATTATTTCCCTTGCATGAGAAAGTTGGACAAAGAATAAGGAAGACAAAAGAATGATCTACACCTTTGAATTGTGGTGTTGGGAGAACCTCATGAACTGTCAAAGGAATGAGCAAGTCTATACTGGAGGAAATACAATCAGGATGCTCCTTAGAGGATGCTCCTTCCAGAAGAGGACAGTGAAACTTCATGTGATATACTTTGGGCATGTTGTCAACAAGGGCCAGTTTTTGGAAATGGATATCATAATAGATCAGAGAAAGAGAGAACGAACTCCTATAGGAATGAATAACACAGTGACTCCAGCAACGCCTCAGGCACACGAGAGACTGTAGGAATGGAGCAGGACAGGGCAAGGTTCAGATCTGTTGTTCACAGAGTTTCTGAGCTGCAGCTGACTGGATACCAACTGGTAAATAGTGGAACAATGAGATTTCTCTCCCCTGGAAATTCAGTGTTATCACTATATAAAGACTGACAACAGTGTAATAGCACAAACCCAAGAGGAACACTTCAGTGCACCTGTTGACAAACTGTCCATGTCCAGGCCTTTGTGACGATGACCGTGAACCCTCTCTTGGAAGTATTTATTAGTGTGACCACCACCATCCACGAGCAAACTGCTCTTGCATCGGCCCCAACCCTTTCTTAATCTCCTTCTATCAATCTGTTTCAATTTCTACATTACATTATTAAAAATGTCAATCAATCATTTCACGTATTTGTATTCAAGGTACCTTTTGTTTTTCTTATTTTACAAGTTGAGTTACCTATCATGACACTACTTTTCCCCATAAGTTTTTTTTCATACCCAATTTTGAAGACCACTAGAAATGTACATATTATGCTATGTTTGTATTTATTTTCCCCCATAAATACAAGACTAATGCAAAGAGAACATACACATCGATATTAAAAGCAGCAATAGTTAAATAAACAGCAGAAGAGATAGATGACAGTCTTTATGATGATCATTCTTTTGCACATATGCTCAAAATTAGGAATGTGTCTGACAATCAAACAGCATTTTAATGTCATATAACATCTAAACTGAAAATTGAAGTCTTCCTTTCTTTCATACAGCATTTTAAATTTGATAAGTTGTAGTAGCACTAAAAAGAGGAAATTGGGCCAATATACCTTTTGTATCTGATGATTTACCACTTAACAATTTTAGCTTTGATAAATTACATTTAATCTACTGGATAATAGTAACAAATATAGTTTCCCAATCTCCCTTTCACAGCTCAGAATTAAGAAGAAAAAACCCAAGACAAATAAGGAAATAATCACTAGGAAAAGAAAGTTACCCACAAATAGCCTTTAACTCCACTTCTCAGAGGAATGTCCTCACTCTCATGTTCCCCTCCCCTGTGTACATGTGTGCCGACACACACACTCCCCACCCCACACACATACAGACTTCTCGGAGGAATGTCCTCACTCTCATGTCCCCCTCCCGTGTACATGCGTGCAGACACACACACACTCCCCACCCCACACACATACACAGACTCCTCAGAGAAATG